CAAACTTCATTTTAGTTTATATTGCAGCAACACCTTGGTTAGAAGCCTGTCCTTGTACAAAGAAAGAGCTCATAATTGTTGCAATTTCATTTGCCTGTCTTCCTGTTGCTTTTGTCTGGGACCTGTTTCAAAAATTCATTTTCTGACTTTTCTAGTTCCTCTTTAACTGTTGCTTTGATGTTCACATAATAGTGTGTCTCTTGGAGAGGTATTCATTTTAAAACAATGGTCAACTGAGCATAGTGCATATCATGTTCAAAGCCATGGACATGTCAGGGCTTCATTTCTTGCTGCTTGCTTGGTGCTTTAGCATACAAGTATATGCCGTTTCTGGTCCCAGCTCCTCGCCAACCTAGCAGTTTGAAAGCATGTAAATGCGAGTAGATAAATAGGTACCACCACGGTGGGAAAGGTAATGGTGTTCCATGTCTAGTTGCGCTGGCCACGTGACCACGGAAACTGTCTACGGACAAACGTTGGCTCTATGGCTTGGAGACGGGGATGAGCACCGCCCTCTAGAGGCGGACACAACTGGACAAATTGTCAAGGGGAACCTTTACTCCTATATGCCTAAGAAGCATCTCTTGTATGGTGCTGGCTTTTTCACAGACTTCTTATCTTGGCTAGAACAAATTACCCAGCAGGTCTGACTGGCTATCTTCTTGTTCTCCCCTGCTGTGAAAAGCAGATGCAGGGGCTGGAGAACTCTGCCCATTTGGCACCACATCATGTCACAGAAATGAAAAGTGCTGCAGAAAAAGACATTCTAAAAATCTCAAAAACCCAAACATTGTAGTAGGAGAATCCATGTGACTAATAATGCATGTCATTAAAATAGTTTTTTTTTCTTTTGAAAGAAAGGAAGACATCTAGATTTTGAATCCAGGGTGACTCATTTTGTAGTCCATCTAGTGTCTTACTTTATTTTTATTCCAGCAGAGCCGTGAGAGAACTATCAGATTTGATAGGAAATGGTAATCACATTATCTCCAGGAGAACGGTATAATTAGACTTGAATTTAGTTTTCTCCCCTCCAGAGAGCAAAATAATCCAGTTTCAATGGCACTCTAAACTTAACTGCATCCCCAGTTGTAGCTATACTTGCTTGGAACAAGACCTGCTGTTTTAGATAATATTTTTTTCTAAACAACAATGCTTGTGGGATGGCTTCAGTTGCTGTAGCATAGCCAGTCATGTTTGCTAGTGTAGCTCAAACAGAACTCTGTGCCTGCCTTGGTTTTGCACAGGAAATACAGAAAGGTATATGCTGGTGTGGCTGTTTGGCTGACTTGAGAGTCTGTGTAGCATGATCTGTTAAGGAAAACTAATACTGTGCCTTTTCCCTGTCTTCTGGGGTTTGAGTAAGTTGTGGACATAGTTACAGCTACAGTGCCCAGAGACATACCTAAAGCAGCACTTAAATCCATGGCAGCTGCTGAGTTTTTGTGGTGGCGGCACCCAGAACAGCCTGTCATAGGAGTTGCCATGGCAGCCCAGCAAGCACAGCTTGTTAGTATCCCAAATGGTTTGCCCTGTTCCTTGTAATCACTGGTTATCACAGAATTTACCTACTTACCTGATGCTAAATGTAACCCACAGAGAGTGAAGCACAAATACAGCCATAAACCATATGGAAAAATTTGACCCCCAACCCAACACTGAAAACAGATGGCATCTCAAACTGTTGTGGGAAAAATGGGTTCGAGGAAGAATACTCCCACCACACGAAGACTTGTCTATGCACAGAAGGCCGGGAGATCCAGTGGATACTCCCTGGCGGAGGAAGAAAGGAATGGATCTTTGCTGGCACTCTCTTTCATGATACATATAGGCATCCTTCAGTCTAGAGAGACTATGGTAACATGCTCTGAATCGAGGAGTGTCCTCTCCAGAGCATGACGCCCGGGTAAAGTAATATGGAGGATAAGGTGTTACCCAAGCAGCAAATCCCACCTCTCCACGTTGCTGAAATGGAGAGTGAAGCACAAATACAGCCATAAACCGTATGGAAACAACTTGACCCCCAACCCAACAAAGAAAACAGATGGCATCTCAAAATGTTGTGGGAAAAATGGGTTGGAGGAAGAGTCCTCCCACCACACGAAGACTTGTCTATACACAGAAGGCCGGGAGATCCAGTGGATACTCCCTGGCGGAGGAAGAAAGGAATGGATCTTTGCTGGCACTCTCTTTCATGATACATATAGGCATCCTTCAGTCTAGAGAGACTATGGTAACATGCTCTGAATCGAGGAGTGTCCTCTCCAGAGCATGACGCCCGGGTAAAGTAATATGGAGGATAAGGTGTTACCCAAGCAGCAAATCCCACCTCTCCACGTTGCTGAAATGCTCCAATGGAAAGGCAAGAGCCAATACGACTGGTTCCAGCAACGTCGCAGGAGTTGGCAAAATGACACAAGTTGCCTTCGGGACTCCAGCTCCGGATTTTGCCTCTAGGTTAACTCCTGAAGTCTTTTCCATGAGTGGATATAGCCACAAGGCATGATACGTGATGTCAATCTGGAGGGCTTCCTGATCCTTGGGAGCATAATTTCAGGTGGGACCAACAGCTTGTTGGGGAAAGAGAATTGATGTAAAACACCTCCTTTCCTCTTCTTCCAAAATGAGCATGAGTTTGGGGCATTTATTTTTGTTTGTTTCACTCTTCTTTCTTCAACTTTTCCCACCCACTGGTACCTCTATCAAAAACCTCATCTTTCCCATGTCCTGAGCTCCATTTCTGTAAGGGAAAGGGGCTTGGTTGCTTCCTCAGTGTAAGAGCCGCAAACCAGCTGCCATCTAGTCAAGCTGAGAAAGTCACCTGGCAGAATTCCTCCATTTAACAAGCGGCAATCCTCTAAATCAAGACCACAACCACTGTGTGTGAGAGAGAGGTGAGAGTTTGCACCTGGATAGGGACATTTTCCCCCGTTCTGGAGGAGAGCACTACAGACGATGGCAAGGACCAGCTTCAGACACCGCCAGTTTCCTCCTCACCTGTGGGCTTCCTCTACTGGTGCTTCAACTTACATGAAAATTTACGGGAGATGCAGAAGGAAATCCTGTCCATCCCGAACTTGCCTCATTGGCCATTACATGGGTTACAGACTCAGCACCCAGATGTGCCCTTTCCATGGCAGCAACAGTTACTCTTTCACCTGGGAGGCCAAACTCAGCTTCACTGTTCATGCTGGATCTGTACAATTCCCCTTCCACTGAGGAAGAGCAGAAGTAGTAGGCAAAGAAGAGGGAGAGACTGGCAGGAGCAGCTGGGACCCGACTTAAGAGCCCCTGCGACCAGGACCCCAAGACCAGCAGCCACTAGCGGTTTATTGACAGGGTTCTGGACAGAGGTATTTTTTAAAAAAAGTTTTTTAGAGAGGGTACAAGCACAATGGCCATGAAGTAGCCACAATGCTGAGGAACCTGATCCCTTCGCAAAGGAAATAAATTGACAGCAATGTTCACACACACTGAAATAATAAGGAATGAAGTGATACATCATCAGTACAATTTAAAACAGCCCTTCCAATGAGGGGGAAATAAACTGATTACTGGAGCAAATGATTGATCTTGCTCATGCATTGTGTGAACAGCAAATTATGAAACAATCTAAATAACAGCCAGATTGATATAACTGGGGTTCTTTTGGCTTGTGTGTTATGAGCCCTTAAATGGCTGTTTTTCTTAATGTGAAAGATGATGGAAGCATGGCATCTTGGTTCATAAAATGTGATATAGTGTCATATTGTTAGCTTGTACGCTACAAAAACAGGGACAGTCCTAGATACAAGAGATATAGAAAGCTGTTAGACCTAAGTAATCTTCTTTGATGGCAGAACACATTCTCCAAAGAGTGATCTCAGAAGTGCACCTCCAATCTTACAAAAGAGAGGTTTATCTTGAAATAACAGCAGAGAAGGGCAGGTACAACTGAAAGATCTTGGCTTGAGACAGAACACTGGTCACTCGGCCATAGCTGTAACCCGCTGCAACTGTATCTTTAGCCACTATGACAGGAGTATGGCCTCAATATCTTGGCCTCTGTGTTCTGCCTTAGGAGCATCCACATGAAAGAGGTGTGTTTGCCAGATATAGCAGAACAACTCCAACCCTTTTTGCTTTATTAAGACATTCTAATTGTCCTTTCTTAAAACTGCTGCTGAAGGTCATTAAGTACATAATATAAAGTAACTGGGGAATACTAGTGTAAGGATTTTTTGTAATTCAAGAATATACTTGGAAGTAAATACTTTAGATTCTCCATCTAGTTTATCTAATGCACATCTGTGGCAGCATTTTGAAAACACCCGTAAGAGTTGATGCAAATTGCCCATGGCAGCATTTATCTTAACAACTTGTGCATGGAATGGTGTAAAAAGTGATTGAATGGAAGCATCCGTTTGAATTTGTTTTCTCTTATATGTACCTGTGCATCTCGGTGTGCGCAATGCAAATTAAGAAGTCACTGTAGCCATTTTTGTCTGTTTTGTTGTACAGTACATCATTTTGGGCATCCAGGCAGGCAGAAAAGCACTAAATATAAAAGTCATATAATCCACAGTATTGGGGGGAAACTGTTCTATATGTGGAAGACACCTTCTGCTTAGTAACCTGTGGGTCTTGTGGGAATTACAGAACAGTCATGGAGGCAAGAAAAGAATAAGAAGTGTTTGAAGGCAAAGGCTTTAATAAGGTTGTAGGTTGTTACAAATGAAGAGAAAAAACGCCTTCAAGCAAAAGGTAGGGCATGTTCTTACATTTGGAAAATCAGACACAGGAACTGACCATTGTTGAGCACCAAGGATCATATATGTCAAGGTTAAACAGACTTCCCTCTAGCATATATTTAGTGATACTGCTTCTAAGAGATAGATTAATTAGTTGAGGAAGAAATCATTTGGTGTAAACATTCATTCATTCATTCAAGAGTACTGCCATTTTATGTGCTGTGGAGTGGATAATACCTTCGGTATCAATAAAAAACTAGTTTGCATGAGAATTGTTTAATTCAGTTTTATTTTGCTTTCTAATTAACAATTACATTCACTTCAGATTTTAATTTCCAATTAATTACAAAGGTGGACAAGGGCTGTTGGCTGATTTGTTCTTTTTAAAATTCACCTTTTCCTACCAGACAGGTTATTCATCATATATAAACTCCAGTTAATTACATTAAATGCCACTGTTTACATTCTAACAAAACATATAAGGAATTAAATAGATATAGAGGAGCATAGTTAACTTTTCAGAGTTAAGACCAAGTGGCTTTGTTAGCATGACAAATGAGCTGCATAAATTACATGAGGCAACCATGAAAGTGAAACTATAGGCCACTGCATAACCCCTTGTATTTGTCTGAAAAATGCATGTTGTCACCCCACCCACCAAAAAAAGTTGAAAGCTAAATTTAAAATGTATGACACGTTTATAACTGGTTTTAATTGTATAAAATTTGATTTACAAAGGGTTTGCTGTAAGCCTTCAGGTGATTTTATCCAACCCTAAAGCTGTATTCAGACGCCATGGGTCACAACCTGGAATGCAGGAATCTGATTTTCTGAGACAGATTACTACAATGGAAGAACTGGAGCCCAAAGCCAGCAACTGCACAAAGGTATTACTTTCCTTATTTTACTACAGGAACCTGTCTTTTTGAAGTAACCCAGAACTAATATTATTTTTCTTTTATCCAACTCTTTTCAGGTTCTTGTATGGCACACTAGAACAGAAAAGGTAAATCTAGCTAATGAGCCAAAGTATCACATGGATAGTGTCAGAATTGAAGTATGATCTGGAAGCATAAAATTGGACAGCCAAAATTTACAGATCCAGCAGTTAAACATTCAGACTGTACAGATTGCCATTCTGAAGTTTCTTTTAACTGGCTGAAAGAGACTTCTGTCAGATGGCACAAGAAGTGCGTTCTTTGTCTTCACTGTTTTGCATGTGTTTCTCCAGTTGGTTTTAGTACTTTAACTACTTAAATGGTTTTTACACGTTTGATGAAATGCAGTGAAATGATGCAAATATACTGATAAAAAATGTAAAACTTAAATGAGTTATTTAGAATTGCGGCTTCTGGATTACCGATGTTCAGCATTTATTTGTTCTTTAATTAAACAGCTTTGCTTTTAACAGTAGACAGATCTGACAGAATGCAATGATCACATGTTTACGAAAATCTTTAATATAGGGAAGCAACAGATTATCAATACGAGGCACCATAAAATGTAAACACAATTACTGGCATAAACCTGGATACAGATAGGAAAACAAAATTAAAATATTCTGTTGAGCAAGTTACCTTGTATGCATGGTGTGCAGCATACTTGTAGATTAGTCCTTCTTACATGCTGTTATAGCCCAATTTTGTATTTTGACAGTAGACTCAAATAGGTGTTTGCTAACACAAAAGAAACTGATGGAGTCACAGTGACATCCAGGTTTATCTCACTTTCACTAACAACCTTCTTCCCTGCTCAACACATCATTGTAATATCACAGTGAAAATAATAATGAAACAAAATAATTATTACACAAGGAAAAGCATTCTTCAGTGATACATATACACTCTTATTTATATGATTAACATTTGTTCATACAGTATCTTCTACAGGATTACTGGGTAATTTGCAGGATGGCATTTACATATTAAGAGACAGTAGTAACATGATATCTATTTCCCTTATATGGAAATGTTTTATATGTAACTGATAAAATAATTTGAATATTTAATTGGTCAAGTAGCTCTTCTGAAAGATATGGTTCATGAAATCAAATGTACCATGGAATGAAAAAAATCTGCCGATGAATAGGTGTTCTCGATCTGTTTTTTACTACATCAAAATTTAAGTCAATACAGACCACAACACGGTCAGTTAAGATAACTTCTTAACAGGAAAAACTCTCTGAAATTGTTGAAGGGGGAAATATACATGGACAGACCGAGGAAACTAGATGCATTTAAAGCGGTGGAATGTCAGGTCTTCATTTCTTATTGCAGTTTTCATTTCCAGAGTTGTGTGCTGAGAGTCTGGCCTGAGGAAGTTCCAGTCCATCCTGCCATAGTATTTGGAGGCTGGACAAAGCCCATCATATTGCCGGAACTACTTAGATTCATTCCAGCCATTTGCTGATTCATCTGTGAAATGTACACAATTCTTAGTGCATAGGTATTCAAATGACACGCCAGGGTTCAATAATAAATAAGACCCAAACTTTAAAACCCCACTACAAAAACAAAACATACTGGCTATCTCAATATATATTCCTTTATAACATCTACAGTATATAAAAATAGTTTTCTTCCAAATCTAACAAATTATATTTCCAGAAAATGTGTCCTTTACAAAATAGAATCTAATTTTCTTTCTTAATCTTACTTTGATTTCTTTTAAAGTAATGCAGTTAAGAAACATGGTGCCTTGTCATTCACATTCATATGTTTAACATTTAAGTTTTTGTACTCATTACAGATTCCTTGAAAAGTTATGATATTGCTGACACTGTGCTACTAAAATAAAGAAGTAAAAACTTAGTAATGGCACATAAGACTCTGCACTGTGGAACATTTTTTGAATATCTGAACTCTAGCTTGTAGAAAATCCACATCTGAAACAGGATTTCTATAAGAGGATAAAGGGTAGAAAATCCACATCTGAAACAGGATTTGTATAAGAGGATAAAGGACCAAAGTAGAGGGTCTCAGAATGGTGTGGGCAATATTTCTATCGGATGCCATATTTTTGAGTTACAGACTTGTCTGGCCGCAAAATTTAGGTTTGACTTGCAGACTGAGATTTGACTTACAGACTAGAAAAAAACCAAAATGGAACAAAAACGGCCTGTTACGGGATTAATCGATTTTCAATGCACTGTAGGTCAATGGAGACTTGACTTACAGACTTTTTGACTTGAGAACCGCCTTCCAATACGGATTAAGTTCTCAAGTCAAGACCCCACTGTAGAGGGTCTCAGAATGATGTGGGCAATATTTCTATCCAGCTGGATGCCATACTTTAGTAGCAACTCCAGGAAGCAATGATAATGGCATGATCCCTATGGCAACTTAACAAACCACCGGCAGGAATGCTGACCTGGAGGACAGCTGTCTCAGTAGGTTTCTATGAGTATATAATGACATAGGCAATTTCCCTTATTCCAGAGTGAAATTCCAGTTGGGTTCTGTTCAATATATGTCAAACATATATTCTAAACAAATTTATAGTTTGTGTTAATTTTAAAAGCCTCACATCAAAATGTTTTAATGTTTGCTAAAAATAATTTCATATTATGCTGAGTTTGTGATATACAATTATTGTTGAAAATGATAGTCAGGTTGAGGGAAACGGATTTGCAAAGGTCTAGATCAGGTCAGTAGGTTTCTATGAGTATATAATGACATAGGCAATTTCCCTTATTCCAGAGTGAAATTCCAGTTGGGTTCTGCTCAATATATGTCAAACATATATTCTAAACAAATTTATAGTTTGTGTTAATTTTAAAAGCCTCACATCAAAATGTTTTAATGTTTGCTAAAAATAATTTCATATTATGCCGGAGTTTGTGATATACAATTATTGTTGAAAGTGATAGTCAGGTTGAGGGAAACAGATTTGCAAATGTCTAGATCAGTGTAAACTATGTGTAGCCTTCTGGAGGTTGCTGGACTACAAGTCTTGTAAGTCATAACCATCATGGCTATGATAGCTGCAGTTCATACCACTCGGAGAGCCCCACATTCTCCAACCCTTATATAGACAGTTTTACTGTACGTACTATTGTTATACTGCTGTTCAGAAAGAACTTGTAATTATTTAGTTGCATTTTGTACCTTCCATTCAAATAAATCCAGGCGAGCATTAGTAAATAACATCTGAAGTGCAGGTGATTCAGAAACAGCTACTAGATAATCAAGGATTACATGTCTTCCTCAGATACATTTATGACTCATGCTTACATTTTCTCTAAACTAAAGCTGGGTTAGTGTGTGTGTGTGTGGGGGGGGCTGATACACAAACATACTGAGGAAGTGTGATAATCAAGGATTACATGTCTTCCTAAAATACATTTATGACTCATGCTTACATTTTCTCTAAACTAAAGCTATTTTGTGTGTGTGTGTGTGTGAGAGAGAGAGAGAGAGAGAGAGAGAGAGAGATACACAAACATACTGAGGAAGTGCGGGAAGGTGGCTGGCAGTTGCACTGAATTACTCTGCAAAGAGGACAAAGCTATCTCGGGTCCCAGTTTTGTGGTAAGAGCACAAATATCAAACAATCCGCAAACAAAATAACTAGTCTATAATTATTAATACTGCACTTGGGAAAGCGTCATAGATATTTTATTTATTTATTTTGTATCATTTGTAAGCTACCAGTGAAGGGACTATAATGTCTAACTAATGTTTAAATACAATACAAAAAACAGTGTTTCTTGATTTTTTTTATTTTACCTAAACTGCTTATTCCCACCCCCCATTATACCTTTTTGTATTTCAAAAACATTCCACATTACATAACTAAAGCCAAATGGTGTAAATATCATTTCTTATAACTGGGCTTTAATCCTAAAAGAGAACTCTCATGTTTTTTTTTCTGTAGGCACACAAACATACACTCCTAAATGAAGAAAATAAAAATACATTCCCACCTGAGAAAGATTCCACTGAGTTTGCTGATTTTGCTGCATACCATATTTCTGTGGTGGGGCTACCTGGCCCACCATGGTTCCTTGAGGTCCACCAACACTCTGAGGAAGTCCCAAAGGAGCAGTTTGTGTGGTGACAGGAAAGCCATTAGGCATTCCCATCCCTACCATCATGCCTGCGTTCTGTCCTATGACAGGCACTGATTGTCCCATCATGTTTCCCATCATGGCAGGGGGTGCAGGAACAGGAACAGATACACCTATGGCTGGAAAGCCCTGAAAATGAGCTGCTGGTTGTGCAGAAAAGGGTAAAGTCTGTGGTCCCATGAATACACCTGTCGTAGACAAAAGGGGAGAGATGGGGGAGCATATCTCATTATGGGAACAAAAAGCTTATATTCTAGAAATAGCACTCCAAGTTTACAAAATTAAACATACAAGCTTCAGCTGTAGCCAGTGATGTGGGTTGGAAAAATTACGCTGAAAAATAACCATAATGGCAAATTTCTTAAAAATAATTCCAGTGCTTAATTTTTCTGTGGAAAAATCTCCCTTTCTGAAAAAATAATGGTTGCCTAAAATTTTTAAGTAACAATGAAGCAATGTCAATTTGCCTCAGTCAGAAACTGAACAAAGCATTGTAGCTGTTTGTATAGACAACAACTGAAACCTGAATAGCCGCCATGAACCCAATGGGGTTCAAAGTCAACATTCTGTTGGTGATTTACATGGATGTGAGTTAAGTTGCACAACTCAGTGCACCAGCTTGCTCCAAATGAGATACCAGTTACATTAGTAGGTGCATGCCTTATAACACAACCTGTGCCTTGTTAGTGGCAATTTGCTGTGTCAGGTTATGCAGTTATACATATATACATTAGCAGGATTCTAGCCAATCACAGCATAACGTGCAAATATGCTTAATTTTTTTTAAAATCATAATCAAATAATTCTATTCAAATACTATTGGGCTGTTGAGATGCTTTTAAAAAAAGTAACTATAAGTCAAATAAATATTTTAAATCAGATCAAATTTTGTTTAAGGCATTCAATAATATTTTTAATATTCCCTCCCAAAATTTCAATCCTGATGAATCATTGGTTGTATCTGATGAAAACACTAATGTCAAAATAAAACTGGTGGTGGAAAGCAAAAAAAGATTACTTTCAAACTGACTTTTTTGTTAAGTTCTACATATGTCTCAATGAATGTAGACAAAGAGCCTCATTAATGACAAACCCACATTTTTTCCATGTTAGATAAAGTAGAAAAACGGGGGCAGAGGGGCATAGCTAATGTCTCAACATCAGCCCTGCTGACTTTGCTTCTGTGGGAATGGAAAAATACCTTCCCTTACATTTTCACTCAGCGATAGCAATCCGTTCCATTGGGAATGGAAAAATACCTTCCCTTATTGCTGCATCTTTGGCCCTTCTTCATTCACTACTCAGAGAGAGAGTTAAGCTCTAACTTATCAACTGGACAGAAGGAAAGCAAAGACTAGGAAAGCACAAAATCCAGTATGTCAACCAGGCATCTGAGAGGTGTAAAACTGTTGCCTTCAGGCAGGCCACTGGTAGGTTATGCAGTTTATTCTGGATAACTGTCTTACTTTTGCCGCTAAATCTGGTGTGATCAGGTTGTTTTACAGCATTGTTTTATGAACTAATGAGATTACAGGGTGTTCTGATAATATAATTATTTTAAAGAGTACGTCAGTTCTCTCTTTTCCATTCAGCAGTAACAAGAGTAATAGTAATAAAATGGCTGTGGGCATATTCAGTGTTCCTTTCCCCAGATCAATCAGTGACCCTAATCAGAAATTATTCAGTCAACAAAGGCTTGGCACCTTTCAGTTGAGTACAGCGAAGGCAGCAGTGAGGAGAGGGAATCAAGATGAATAAGATTCTTCCCTTCAATAGGTTGCTCATCACAATTTACATCAATCTGCCTTCAATTTGGATTCCAATAGTTGCCACTTTCTTTTTGCAAAAAAGCCATAACAAACACGAACAAGCGCAGCTTTTAAGTGATAATTCTCAATTTGCTGCTTGATCTTAGTATCTCAGAAGTAAAATGGGAAACAAATCTGGTTTAACACACAAGAGGGGCATGTGTTCTTTGCACAGATTTCCATTAAGTAACTTTAGAAACAGATTTACAAACCAGTTACCTGAGGCATTCTGTGGTGGCACAGTCCCTGTGCCATACAGTGACAGGATGGAGTCTTTGGAGAGCAGTTTCTTTGCTGACTCTTCTGATTTTATTTGTTCAGTGAACAGATCAAGATCTCCAGATGCAGCAGATAAGGTGGCAGCTACTGGGTTGGTGGAAGCAGTCTGGCAAATAAAAGTCAAAGGAGACCACTGGTGTGTGTGTGTTTTAACTAAACGGCATATTAGATAAAGCGATCTAGCAGAGAAACAATTGTAAAGCATTTTCCAATTAGAATAGCTGCAACAAACATCACTTTAAAATGCTGCCCATGCCAACATCAACAGAGGTGTTTATGAATGCCTGTATATACTTGTACACCCACCATATTTACATGTTTACTGCAGGAACATCACTGTATGCACAGCAGGTACTCTGGATGCATAAACTGGAGCTGACTTAAGACGCCAATTAAACCTGCAGTTTCACTGAAGAGATTGTTTTCTGAAATATGAGATTTTGGCCTTCATATCAGGAATACTTCTATTGGATCTACAAGTTAACTTTTACACTTTTCAACGAAGTAGCCATGTTAGTTTGTTCAGGGATATCCACACAAAAATAAAAACAAAAAACTAGAAAACAAAATACCTTAAACACCTTCACTGTGAAATATTTTCACTGTGATATCCCCAAAGCTTCACAATGAAATATAATGGTGTCGTTAAGATGCCCCAACTTTTTTGTTTTTTTATTTTTGTCTGGATTCACTTGAACCATTTGTCAAAATTCACCACATACACTCTGTACTAGAAAATTTAATTATTTACTTACCTGTTATTCTTTTAAATTAAAAAAAATTCAGACTATGTGGTCAGAATCCTGTTGGTGCTTGCGTAAGATGTGTGTAACTTGCTGCAACTAACTGGAGCTAATTGAGGAGCTATTGGGGCACCCCTCACCCACATGCCTAAGTATGCAAGCAAGATGCGCTCTAGGACCTGTTTAGGAAGCTGCACTTCGCCAAGAAACATTCCCATGTCTTTAACAAAGTGAATGAAGCATGAAAAAACACACACCATAAAATGCCTCCCAAGAATGATAACTTTGTACAGAACAGCAAATCAATGATTAGAACCAGGAAGTGCAGCAGTATAGACTTAGGTTCACATCCCACTCTAGGGAACTCAACCAGCCAGTCTCCCTAAGCCTAACCTACTTCACTGGGATATCATAAGGGCAAAAGAAGAGACAAATCTACGTACCTTAAGCCCTTTAGGAACAGACAGCAAAAGAATTCATAAATTCAATATGTGCAACCAATGTACTCTCTCATTTTCAGCCCTGCTGGGAAGGGCTCTGCCTCTCTCTCACATGCCTCTTCCTTTCCGTGCATGTACAACTCCGCACGCACACCCCACACATGCTGGGTTCCATTGAGACCAGAACCAAAGGGGCTGTGCAGAGGAGGAGGAGGAAAGCAGCACGGAGGGAGGCAGAGGGCCATGTGCACACAGCCCCACACCTTAGAGGGATCCTTGTATGTGCAAAAATTTCTATCTGTTTAAATTGATTAATAATGTTATTCAAAATATAGGGAAGAGAACCTTTTACATATTAATAAATTATATTTTACAGGGTTAAATTTCCGTATTAGGTACAGTGGTAAGATTAAAGTAAGTCTTGGTACTAAGGCAAAACTTGTATTCACCATTAGGCCCTTAGCTATCTGTGACATTATATAGAGGTGCCTGCCCTCCTTCCCAACAAGTGGTCTGTATACCAAGTAGCTTCTAAGAAATGTGAAGCCCCACCCCTTCCTTGGCCAGCTTTGCCGCTTTTCTCTCCAAAGCAAAAAAAAACCCTGTAAATTTAAAACTGGGGATTTTGGGGGGGGGGGAATTGGATAAAATGTTTTCTTTTTTTGGAATGAGCCAAATACTTTTAAGGACAACATTATGCTTACTTAAAATGCCAGGTCTCATAATACAAAGTGATATGTGTGAGAGTAAAGGTATGGTAACTCCTGCCCATACTGTAGATGCAGGCAGCACTCATATCCTACACACATTTTTTGGTCTAATGGCTGCATTCATTTTCATTAGAAGAAAATATGCAGTGAAAGCAAGCTTAATTTTTTATTGCAAATACAGCATATATTTCACTCCCCCCCCCAAAAAAACCCCTACTCTTTATATGTCCGTATTCTAATATACTTAAGTTAAGAAAGACCATCTGGAAATTCATACTGATTGAAGGGCAAGGCAGGCAGAAGGCATCCCACATAAGACACACCGCTTAAAAAAAAATCAACCAAGGAGCAAGATTGTGGCTAGCAAAGACCATGGAAAAGGAATAAAGCTTTTGTCCAAAAGTTTTGTTTTTATGAAACATCATAAAAGTAATACATCGAAATATTAAGTATAATGGATAAATCAAAGGATTACCAAAGCACAGAAGCACAGTAAATAAATGAAAGGATAAAATAATTACTGTACTCCTGAATCCTAGATTGTTCCTCAGTTTTGGGTCAAATAAAACACACAACTGAGAAACAGAAAAAAATGGTTATAACTTATTGATAAATGTTTTTATTAAAAAGTAGCTTTTAAATATATGTAGATATATATACTGAAACCTCTGAAAATTTCATGAATTAAGCAACCCATTTTTTAAAAAAATCGGCTGAACTTCTGATATATTAGAAAAATGTATCGAAGTGAATTGTCTACTAATCACTTAAATGATCCTTTGCTTTAAGTGATCTGGGTGTTACTACTTTTGAAACTACCAAGTTTTTATAGACGGTATACTCTGCCTTTAACCGAATTTTTCAAGCCTTTGGTCCTAAGTGAACATTCTATCTTAGCCAGTGGTACTGCTGGATCCCCCTCAGGCAATTTCATAAACTTAGTGATAGTGAGTGTTTATATCAACAATGTTTATTTCACAATTCAGAAATCAGAATGGCTAGTCAGAAGGCCATTATCTCTAAACATGAAGTTTACAATTACAGCTGTAATTATTAAAACATCATTTATAGAGTTAGTCTCTAAACATGTGCCTAATGTATCCTAAAAACCTAAATTAAGTATTATACTAGCCTCCCTCTCTTTGAACATGATACACTGTTGCATTTACTGAGTTTCAGTATGTTTGATTCAGTAACATTTAAGGGAAAATTACACAAGGCCAGAACTGGTGCCCATGTCTAGCCATGAAAACATGACAAAATCTGGACTATGGATATTTTGTCAAGGAAAGGAACAGAGACTTTCTGGAGGTGTTCTCCAGTTCTTCCATTAATGCTTCCCGCATTTTGAAGTAGTTCACTTCCTGTAACTTGATAATAATTCTTCTGCTGAACTTCAGAAGTATTTGCTCCTTTTGAAGCAGCTGTGTTGAAACAAGTGGTCAATTGTAGAGATGGGCATGAACCTTGGTTTGGAGGTTCATGTTGTGCATTTCCTTCCCCCGCCTCCCTGGCCAATGCCAGATTCACTGGCTGGAGCGTGCTCCTCTCCTCCTCGTTGGCTGTTCAGCCACTCTCAAGCAGGAGAATAGCTTTGCTTGTCCTGATTCCTTGTCTGAGTGAGCAATCAGCCAAGGAGTTGGAGCAGAGAAGACTGTGCTCCTGTCGGAGACTGGCTGAACAGCCGAAAAGCAGAAGGAAAGGAACGCACTCCAGCTGGTGAATGGGGGAATCCAGCCTGGGAGGTGAGGGAAGAGAACGTGTAGCGAAAGGGCACGAACCTCCAAACCAAAGTTTGTGCCCGTCTCTAGTCAAGAGTAATCCTTCCAAGAGCAGGTTTGCAATGGTTGAGAGAGAATTCCCATAAACTGTCCTAATGTAACAGAGCTTCACTGCTTCTTAGAATCACTTATGGTTATGACATGTTTTAGCTCAACCCAACAGTGTTAATTTTTTGTTCACCAAATTTTATCCGATCTTATAACATGATTTTCATTTAAAATGTAACCTTTTTAACCTTGCAATTTCAAAATGGACTCGTATGTTAAGACTCACATTTTTGCTGCTTACCTGGGAAGGAGGTATAGAAGTGGCTGGCAGAGGATTAGAGATCATGGGGCCAAATATATCCAGGTCATCATTCAGTGCTGTAGCAGGAGTAACTATGCTTCCATTTGTGACAGAGGAATCAGCAGGACCATCTTCAATTACAGTATTTTAGAATGAAAAGCATTAAAACAGGATATCTACTTTGAGATTTTGCAAAGTATGTATATAATTAAGCCAATTACACTGCTACTGCTTAAAGGCATTCTGTGTGAGCAGAAATTTATAGGCATGTATAACATTGCAAACGGATGTGGTGGCGCTGCGGGTTAAACCGCAGAAGCCTCTGAGCTGCAAGGGCGAAAGATTAGCAGTTTGAATCCACATATTGGAGTGAGCTCCTGTTACTTGTCCCAGATCCTGCCAACCTAGCAGTTCAAAAGCATGTAAAAATGTGAGTAGATAAATAGGCACCACCCTGGTAGGAAGGTAACGGCATTCCATGTCTAGTTGCGCTGGTCACATGACCACGGAAGCTTGTCTAAGGACAAAACACTGGTTCTACAGCTTGGAAACCGGGATGAGCGCTGACTGGACTAATTGTCAAGGGGAACCTTTACCTTTATGTGTAACATTGCAAACTGGTTCCTGTAGTATTTGACCAGTTTCTTGTAACTGAAAATTACAACATACCAATGTATTAGCAAGGTCTGAACATATTAAAATAGAATTTGAGAACCACCTAATGGCATCCGAGTTGCTTTAGTAGAATTATACATATACACAAAGTTTCAACTGCTTTGTCAAACACCAGGATTCTATCTTAAAACAGAAATCTTATTTATAAGCAGTCAAAAATTCATTGGTTATAAATGTAAGTTTATACATAGATGACATGTTGTCTAGAGTTGCTGTTTGGAAACATTTCCTTTTTGGGAAGTTTTGGCAGCCCACTTAAACTTTGTTCTACAAATCAAGGCACTTCAGTCATTTAAAAGAGCATTATGCTTTTGCTTTTTAAATGTTACTGATGTACCATATTTTTCGCACCATGTACCATATTTTTCGCACACTTTTTCCCCCACAAAACAGGGGGGTGGAAAGTCTGTGCATCTTATGGAGCGAAGAAAACAGATTATATTTTCCTGTTTTCTTCTCCTAAAAAATTGGTGTGTCTTATGGAGCGAAAAATACGGTATCTAGTTTTCAAGAAATATTATGTGAACATGGGCATATATTTGTCAGCAGAAAGTTCAGATCAGCAGTCACATGTCAGGATCAATTACATACAGTCATGCGAAGAAGCAAGTACACCCTCTTTGAATTATATGGTAATACATATCAACAGGTCTGAAAATTAGGTAAATACAAACTCAGATGAACAACAACACATGATACATTATACCATATCATGATTTGTTTTTACAAAAATAAAACCAATGGAGAAGCCATGTGTGAAAAACTAAGTAGACCTCACGATTCAATAACTTGTAGATCCACCTTTAGCAGCAATAACGCTTTCTGTATGACTTTACATCGTTATGGAGGAATTTTGGCCCACTCTCCTTTAAAGGCCCCACCATAGCACTCCACTCGGGTTGAAGTCTGGTTTTTGACTGGGCCACTGCAACACCTTAATTCTTTTCTTTTTCAGCCATTCCGTTGTAAATTTGCAACAGTCATTGTTGCATGACCCAATTTCAGCCAAGCTTTAGCTGTTGGACAGACGGCCCCACTTTTGATTCTAGAATATTTTGGTATACTGAAGAGTTAATGGTTGACTCAATGACTGAAATATGCCCAGGTCATGTAGCTGCAAAACAAGCCCATATCATCACCCCTCTACCACCGTGCTTGACGGTATGAAGTGCTGATATTCTGTGTTGGGTTTTTGCCAAAGGTGGTGTTGTGCATTATGGCCAAACATCTCTACTTTGGTCTAGTCTGTCCAAAGGATTCTGTTCCAGAAGCCTTATGGTTTGCCCAGGTGCAACTTTGCAAACCTAAGATGTTCTGCCATGTTCTTTTTAGAGTGCAGAGGCTTTTTCCTGGCAACACTTCCAAATAAATCAAACTTATTCAGTCTTTTTCTAGTAATACTGTCATGAACCTTACCTTAACATTTCATATGCTAACTGAAGCCTCTGGATTCTGAGATGTAACTCTTGGGGGTGTGTGCAATTTCTCTGAGCACTGCATGGTCTGAATTTCCTTGTACAGTGGACCCTCTACTTATGGAATTAATCCGTATTGGAACGGTGGCTGCAGGTCAAAAAGTCTGTAGGTCGAGTCTCCAATGACCTACAATGCATTGAAAACCGATTAATCCCATAACTGGCCATTTTTGTTCTATTTTGTTTTGTTGTTGTTGTTGTTTTCTGGTGTGTAGGTCGATTCTCAGGCTGCAAGTTGAACCTAAATTTTGCAGCCAGAGAAGTCTGTAAGTCGAAAAGTCTGTAAGTCGAGCCGTCTAAGTCGAGGGTCCACTGTATGTCCATTCATGGGAAGATTATCCATTGTCTTGAATGTTTTCCACTTGTGAATAATCTTCCTCAGTTTAGAATGATGGACTTTAAATGGTTTGGAAATGGCCTTATAACCCTTCCCAGATTGATGGGCAGCAACAATTGCTTCTGTATGATCACAGCTGATGTGTTTCCTCCTTGGCAATGTGTTAACACACATCTGAATGCTCCAGACCAGCAAACTGCTAAGACTTTGGCTTTTGTAGAGGTGGTTACTGATGATCAGTTACTCAAGGGCATTTGGTTAGCAGCACCTGGATACTACTTAGCCTCTTAATTCCCATGGAAGCAGTAAGGGTGTATTTAGTTTTTTAACACATGGTTTCTCCATTTTGGTTCCATTTTTGTAAAAACAAATCATGATATGGCATAATGCACTGGTTCTTAACCTTGGGTTACACAGGAGTTTTGGACTGCAACTCCCAGAAGCCTTCACCACCACCTGTGCTGGCTGGGGTTTCTGGGAGTTGCAGTTCAAAAACATCCGAGTAACAAAGGTTAAGAACCACTGGCATAATGTATCATTTGTTGTTGTTCATCTGAGGTATTTACCTAATTTTCAGACCTGCAAAGGACCAGATGATTTTTATTGTGTCCTGATACATAAAACCATAGAATTCGAAGGTGTACTTTTTCATATGACTGTATATTCTTGATCATTCTTTCCATGGGCCACCTGAATAAAATTCATGAGTCACAATTTCTGAATGTCTGCTCTAGATTTTAATATGTATACTATTTCCTTCCAACAGTCCGTTGTTTTAAGCTATAAGAGAGAAAAGGCCCCACGTCTCTTCTCAGCCATTTCTTCTAGTCTAGTACTCCACTTTTCTTGAAGCAAAGATCTTGTGATATGCATTGTTAATGACCATGGCAGACAGCTTTCTCATATTTGTAAAATTCCCCCCACCATCTTCAGCAAAAAGGCTACTCCTCTACTCCCCTTCTTAACTGCTGACAATACATCTTTCAGTGTATCAACATTTTTTGCTATTCCATCTTGCTAATCCTCTCTTTAAATTAATTGTTTTAAATTGAAATTTGTAATTTTATGATTTTATATATTTTTATACTGTTTTGTTTTATTTTGTAAGCCGCCCCGAGTAGACATGGTCTAGAGGGGCGGGGTAAAAATCAAATAAATAAATAAATAAATTTTATTTTTGCATTTTAACATATTACTACAGTTCTCTTCCAAACTATCATAATCATCATTTTTATAGTACCAGCAGCGAAATATGTGCAACTCTATAGTTTTCTCAAAAGATGTTGAATACTGTAGCAGGTAGTAGGCATGGGGCATTTGGATTTTTTCTCACAATTTACCAGGAATTCCCCTCAGTCAGAATTCTGGCATCTGTAGCCAAAAAATCCAAATTCTCTGAGGAATTTCAGAATGCACACCAGAGCCCCAGCATTTTCTTCTCTGTGGCCATTGCAAAGAGAGAAGTTGGTGGGACTTTCTAAACTCCAAGGGAACAACAGAAGCTGTGAGGTTGGTCGTCTCTCTGTTCCTGGTGGCTCTTAAAAAACACCCCTTAATTAGTCCTGATCATGATTCAGTCTAAGGCATAAAAATACATTTCTCTGAACAGCAGATGTGCTACCAGCATTCTCAAACCACAGATGCTGATGCTAATCAGCAGTTGAAAATGATGGCTGTTGCCCAAAAGAAAAGAAAAGATGCCTCAAGGAATCCACTGTTGCCCTTTCTGACTGTATCCTGAAGTCCATCTCTGGAAGCTTTAAGTATACCAGAAGTCCTGTCCAATAATGGCCAGCTGCTACAAGACTGCCATATCTTCCTCTTGAAATGTCTTTTGCATAGAGGCTGGTTGAGCCACTTGAGATTCAAGATGGCCCTGACATCCCTCCTCTTGTTAGGTATTAAGAAGATTGTTGAGTAAAAGCTGGTTCTGGTTTGGGACTTGGTTATGGGCTCTCTTGCAAGGATCTCAGTAAAGCATTTAACTGTCCTACTGGGAAACACATGAGACAGGCAAAACACTTAGCAAGCTGCTCAGCCCCCTGCTTGGGAGACTTCATGTGGGAATCTATGCAGTTACGTCTCTAATTAGAGATAAAAGCAGGGATTTCTCTTTCTAGTAAACCCCAAGGGTAGGAAACTCCATCCCTGTTTTAAGTACTTGGGCTATTTAATATTTTATAGCTAATACTAAATACCTGATAATGTGCCGGAAATGTGGCCAGTACAGGCAGTCTAAAATGACTGTCATATGCTCATACATCTGTAATTCTGAGTCCCCATGAGCAAACTGCACAAGTATCTTGCACAGAAAGAAGAGCTGCTCTCTTCAGACCATCGCCCTCCATAGATCGAAGATGACAGAAACACAAGAAAGGAGCAAGATGTCTGAGTTCTCTCCCCTTTGTAATTCTGTGCACAAACATAACCTGAAGAAAGTTTTGCCCCAGCAATATTATGTAGCTCTACAATTTTGGAATTTGTGGCTTGGAAGAATTTGCAAGAGAAGATTAGTCAGTCTGGCATGAATTACAGTGGTGCCTCACTAGACAATGTTAATCCGTTCCATTGAAATTGCTGTCTTGTGAAAACATCGTCTAACGAAAAGTGTTTCCCCACTGGAATGCATTGAAACCTGTTTAAT